GATTTGGTTTAGGGTTAGTGTGAGTGATTTTGTGAGATTGTAACCCTTTGTACTCTCCTTGATTTAGTGAAATCTTCCCATCCTCTCCCCATGGATGTAGGTAAATTGCCGAACCACGTATATCTCTGTGTTTGGTTTGATTTGTCGTATTTGGTTCGAATTGTGCTCGTGTGCGGTTGGTTCTCCTCTCTCGTGATTACAGATTCGTTCGGTGTGCGAGCACGCTTCCGCATATGTGCGCAACAATAACCATGAATAGTACCAGAGAAAAGAAAAGAGAAAGAGAGAAAAAGAGAGAGAGAAAAAGTGAGATTCCGGATAGCTCGGTTGTCCAATTGCAGTGATTCAAAAGCCATTGTCTTCAAAACAACGACGCCGTCGAGGGTACGGTGTTGGTTTCTCCGCGGGTGTTGGGGATTTTTTGGTGAGATGAGTTTTAGGGTTTTAGTGAACACTGTATCTTTCTCTTGTGATTTAATTCTCAAGTTCAGGTGTAACTTGGAGAGGTTGTACTATTGATTTATAGTGAAATATTTCTCTCTGGATTGTCCCGTGGACGTAGGCACGATTTGCCGAATCACGTTAAATCTTGGTGTTTGCTTGCTTGTGGTATTTTTTATTGGTGCTGTTATTCGTATAGTGTTTAATTCCGCAGATTAATCTCCATAAAATCCCTAACAATGTGTTACTTTTTACAAAAATGGCATGTCATTAATATATTCAGATCATAAATAGCGGACTAATTGTACTCTTTGGAAAAGATTTTGAAACCATTTAAGATAACAATTTCTCTTCATGGATAACTAGAGTTTTTAACTGCCAGGGAGAGTAAGACGAAACTAAGGCAAAATATAAGATAACAATTTCTCTTCATGGATAACTAGAGTTTTTAACTGCCAACGTCAAACATCCTTCAGAAGTAGAGAAAACAATTTGCAATTGGTCGCAAGATGTGCCTCCTTAATTTTTGCAAAAAACCTTATTTCCTTGACTTTGATCAAGCCTTCTATTACAAAAGTCAATTGACTACGTCAACTATCTTCAGAATTATTATTGTTGCCTGAAAACGCCTGCTAATGAGAACTTTATCCCTTAAAATGGTCTAGAAGCTCTTGGTATCCTCAAGCAACTGTTTGCTTCTGCATTCGGAATGACCGAGTCCTAACTTTAGTTGACATAGCCTAAGACTTGGTCTCCAGCAAGTTGGGACTTAACTAACATAATGGTCTCTATATCAACTACTCAATATCTATTGGATATTAAAGTCAACTGTGGAAAGTATCAATCTTCATTCATCTCATGCAGTTGAAGGGAATGTCTGAAATCTCATATATTTTCCTTCATCTGGGCTTTTGGTCGCAAGTCTGTGCTGCTAAGGTGAAATGAGGTTGTCAATTGCGCTTGTACTGCTGCTATTGTTGTGCACTGTAGGTTTTAGAGTTGGTTCCGAAAGTATATACAGCCAAGATGGTACTTTCTTCTTCTCTTTCTTCTTATATCTGGAATTGTGAAGATAGAGTTCTTTCTCTGATCTCTCTCTGTCCATCCCTTGTTCATCAGTGCGTGCACACTGTTTTCATGATACTTTCATCATCAAAATTTTATTTTCCATCGGTGTCATCCAATGGAGAAAGTATCCAATAATTAAAAAAAAAAAATTCAACATGAGCTTCCTTATTTAGTTTTCATATGCTTTAATCAGAAATTTGTCTACTGAGTAACATTACTAGATCAGGCAATTATTGCATTTGTCACCACTATTCATAATCCCATGCGACTGAAGCCCTAATATTGTTTGTTGACAAGGCTAACACTTGCCAAGCACATAAAAATTATAAGCGCTAGCGCATTAGAATTAAAATGGAATATTTTGCAAGTTTTTGAAGATATTTATTCAAAAAAACACCCTTAACTTGTTTTTTTCAGCTTATCTATTTCAGTGTCCCACCTATGAAATTTTCAGCATATTACCATGAAAAGAAACGTTTTTAGGAAATATGATTATATTAGATTCTCTTGTCCTTTTTTTCTCACAGATATGAATACTATTTCTTATAAATAATCTTACCCCCTATGTAAAAACTTATTCGATTAGGAGAAAAGAGGCTTAAACTAGATGATCACTATAAGAAAGGTTTAACTCCGCTCCACTTTTTATCAGGAAAATGTTCAACTATATGTACCAATTAATTAACTCCCAGGGATCCGAGACAAAGTTCCACCCTGCTCAAGGGTTGACTTTAGGTTGTCATAAAAAGTTTATCAATT